GTGCGTATATAAACGTTTGTTTTATCAAAGAATAAACAGAGAGAAAATATTAAAGAAAAGAGAATAGATAGAATCGAGGTTTATGTAGTTAGAATACGCTGTAACAAGCATCTCCGGTAGTCTGTGTAGCATTTAGGGTAGTGTCTGAAGTAGGTCAGAAATTGCTTCTAGCGTCTTATATGAATTAGATTTGAATTCGAATAGTAGATCGAAGTTAGGTCAAAATTTATTTTTCGCTTTGTTGATCGTAACAAACTGGTCGCCTTTCCCAACGTTTTGGATGGCGAGCATTTCGCCAATATGAGTTTCGTCAACAGGGCATTCGTTAATGACAAAAGTCATGTGGACATTTGCCAATACATCCCATGGCATTTCGCCAATTGGCGAAAGCTCACTGCACTTTCGTCAGCATACTATCTGGAATTTCGCCAACATGAGAGTAAATTAGACGTGAATGAAAAATTTGCATCGCCTACCTTATGCATATAAGCTATGATATATATATATCTTCTAGGAACATTAGTTTCAGCTCTGATATGTATTCTATATTAATATTGTTTCGTGATAGCTCATGAAAGTCCACTATACTTTCGCCAGCACACTTCCTGGAATTTCGCCAATATTCCACCGGACATTCGCCATTGGCAAATGTTCTGTTGAAGAAAGTCATATTGGCGAAATTTCGGAACCCCAAAGTTTTTTATTTTCAATTTGTCATCAGACGACTTCAGGTTCGTTTATATGTGAACTCGAATTAGGCATCTCATGGATGAGAGAGTGAAAGTAGAGATGCAGGACAGATCAACGTCCAGCCTTCTACCGATCGACATCCTCACACTCTTATTCTTCGTACTTGAATACAGATCAGCACGAGTCGCTGCAACTTGGAAAGAGCATCGCATGCATGTCTGAATACTTGAGTTTTAGTTGTTTGTTCAACAGCGCTTGCCAGCAATTTCCACATGTAAATGTATCTGCACAAGATAATCATTAAAAGAAGATCATTTTCAGTTTTAAGCAAAATTCCTTCAGAACGATAAAAACCTGAAACAGATTCGAGGTTGACTCGATTACTTTTAACGTCCATTCAATATGGCCTTTGTAAAAACCGCAATTAAAGTGTCTACTAAACACATTTGCATGAAAGAGTAGTCTAAAAATTTTCATTTACGTTACATAGATATTCATACAAACTTATTCAAAAATCGATTCTACCTATTTAGAAGCGAAAAATCTTTTCTTTCAAGTATTTTCCACGAAATTCATATATATTTACATGGGACTTTCGTGCTAGACGCATCATTCCTCTTCTATACTGCATTTCGGTTCTTAGTTTCCGCTGTTAACTTTTCCAAAGAAGTTAACCGATCAGATCTTTTTTTCTGCTCTATTATCCTATTTCTAGGAATATAGTGCCATCTCTACTTCTTCACACAGACACTCACCACACTCAATCTTTACAACAATCAACTTGGAGACAAAGGATCACAACATCTGGCTGATGCATTATGAAATAACACAGTGATTGTCACCCTCTTTTTATCTCTCTCGTATCCTCATCTGTTTTTTTCCAACAGATACTCACCAAGTTAGATCTCACATACAATCAAATCGGAGCTCTTGGAGCACAACAGCTGGCTGATGCATTACGAAATAACATAGTAACTCCTCATCTTCTCTTCGTCTTTCTCATATTCTCATCTGCACTTATTCACATAGACATTACTCACACTCACTCTCTACAATAATCAACTTGGAGACAAAGGAGTACAATATTTGGCTGATGCATTACGAAATAACACAGTGACCTTCATTCCCTATTCATCTCTCTCACGTCCCCATCTGCATTTTTTCATATAGACACTTACCACACTAAATCTCGGTGGTAATCAAATCGGAGACAAAGGAGCACAACATCTGTCTAATAGACTACGAAATAACACAGTGACCCTCATTCTATCGTCATTTCTTTCATATTTGTATCTGCACTTTTTCACACAGACGCTTACCACACTATACTTGTCTTTCAATCAAATCGGAGCTCTCGGAGCAGAACATCTGGCTGATGTATTACGAAATAACACGGTGATCCTCATTCTCTCTTCATTTCTCTCATATAACCATCTGCATTTTTACGTACAGACACTCACCACACTATATCTTTCCAGCAATCAAATTGGAGCTGTTGGAGCACAATTTCTGGCTGATGCATTACAAACTAGCACGGTAACTCTTATTTACTCTTTGTCTTTTGTTATATCCCTATCTGCATTTTTCACACAGACACTCATCACACTAGATCTGCATAACAACCGAATTGGAGCTCTCGGAGCAGAACATCTGGCTGATGCACTACGAAATAACACGGTGATCCTCATTTTCTCTTCATCTCCCTCATATTCCCGTCTATACTTTCTCACACAGACACTCACTACACTAGATCTCACATACAATCAAATCAGATATGAACTTGAAGAACGTGTGCAGAAGCTGATTAAACAGAATAAACGACAAGCCAAATCGTGAATATTGCTAATAAAAGTGAAATGATGAATAACTGAAATGACATATTGAAGGGTGTGGGTGTGGATGTAGGATGGGTGTGGAGTGTTGGTGTAGGTGTGGGTGCGAGTGTAGGTTTGTGCGTATGGGTAAACAGATGACCAACACCTACACGCACCCACCCACACACCCCACACCCACGTCTGGATGAGTTTTACAAAATAAAATGCGTTTGAACGCGTCTGTTTTGCGTTTGAACGCGTCTGTTTTGCGTTTGAACGCGTCTGTTTTGCGTTTGGTGTTCACATGAGAACAACATCTTTTCTTTTTCCAGTCTCATACATAGTCTTTCGACATCCTATTTTCGGCATTTTATCCTTTGACATTTTTACTTTCGACCAAATTCCGACTTACCGAGGTGTTTCATAAAACACGTCTCATTGCATGTCCTCAGAAATATATCTTTCCAATTATGAATGAGATCTTCCATGATAAGAAAGAGTTAGAATTTCTGGAAGAAAGTACACAGGAGAAGTGAGGTATTAAGTAATGGACAGCGGATTTTTATCAAAGATGTTCTTCTTTCAGAAAGATCTCTTCATGTGTGACACGTTTATATGCGCATCGCATTAATTAGGTCCTGTGCCCATTGGAATGAATATTTTCGTAAAGAAAATTTGAGTTTCCTCACAGCACGCTACAAAGAAGCATTAAAGTGATCTCAAAACACGCTTTTTAATACAGAGAACTTTTTTTTATTAACTGCTCTTTCTGATTAGCTTTTTCTCATGAGTTATTCAACTTAGAGCTGATACGCTACTAAGACGATCGAAGTCAAATATTGTCCATACTAAAAAATTTAGTTATTAATGTTTACATAAATGCTGAAAGAATTAAAAAGCTATAGAAATCACTACAAAAAAAAACAATTTTCAGAGGGAATCTTCTAAACTGTCTTTTACTTCATTTGCCCAAGAGAGGTTTTCTAATGTGTCAGGGGCTTTAGCATCCTACAATAAAATCGATTTTCTTCGAATTTGAACCTAAAATATAGGATCAGCACTGAACTTTGTAGCTTATGATGTATGATTAAAAAAAATTGAGAAAAAAAAGTTTCTTGTGGATCCTGAGGTCTCCCAGGGTGATTAATAACCAGGTAAAAATTGAAAGTCTTTGTTCAATAGAAAAAAAAGCCTCATTTTATTCAGAATTTCATGTTCATTAAGAATATATAATTCTTTTTCACAAAATATTTTGATCAAAAAAATGACCTTGTCGAGGTTTCTTCTTTCCCGAGTTCCCAGCTTTTACCTTATTAACACATTAAATATTTAGATTTGTTTTGTTTCTCATTTATTTCGGGATTTTAGGAAATCAATCATTACTGATTTCGAAAATGATCGTGAATATATTGTATGCAACAGAAAAAAAATCTATTTTTTGAACGAGGAAGCAGTGACTGATGGTGTGACAGTGAGTGATCGAGCAGTGGTACTTGTTGATTGTATCGTGGCTGGCGTCATTATATAAGTCTTCTTGAATTCGTTTATATTTTGATCAGCCACTTTATTTTTCATAAAATGTTCTTGTACGACTGTTACCAAACTTTTATCTGGATCAATTTTCTGATCTTTTAGCTCTTCTGGTAGTCCACAAATGCCTACTCGACATGGCTGATCTATTCCATATAGTCCCAAACAACATGCCCACATCAGTTTCGGTGGTTTCGGATTTTGTTCATTGTTGCCACTATGTGCCAATAATTTAGCTTTCTGAGCAATTCTTTGAGCTTCCTGAATGGTTAATCGATTATTACTTTGATCAAGATCAACGACAAATCCATCGTGATAGTGACAACTGCCGTGATTAACTTGTGCCGGAATATAATTCTGTTGACATTTGGGACATTGTTTAACTGATTGATCATCAAGACGTTTTGCTTCTTCGTCATTTTCTTGTTGAATCTGTTGAAGCGTCTTCTTGAATTCGATATCGTCAATTAATAGATTACGGAGAAGCGGATGTTTAACAATCATTACCATCCATTTCTCTTTCAATTGTTCCTTAGCCGATCCTGTCGTTGTCTGCAACATAAACTAGTGATATTTTAAAAGAACTTCTTTTTTTTTGATTAACTTCACTCACATTGTTACTTGTAGTCTTTTGTTCAACAATAGCTGTCTTACATTTTTCTCGAATAAATTGATATAAATGTATGTTTGAAATTGATACTGATTTTGACATTTGTGAATCAGAAACACTGAGCATAATGAGTGAATCGATATCAAAAATGAGCATCGAACGATTATATTCATCACACTCTGAATTAAACAAAATGAAGACAATCAGAATATTGCTTTTAAGAGTAGAATGAATTCTCTTTATATGATGAAAAATATTCGATAAGCAAATTACTTTGGGTATTTTTTTACTAGCAAGACTACTACTTGTTTTGAATTATTAAACTTAAAAATTGTGGAGGATACTTTAATAGCAAGAAAATTGTATGTCTATTGAAAACAGAATAGGCGTATTCCATGAGAAAATCATCTTGAGCAGTTTTCTCTAAAACCTTCGAAAATACGATTTCTAGAAAATCGGATTTTTTTAAGTATAAGTGGCGAAAAAAATGAGTGCTAGAAAAAACTTCTGAACATGATATTCGGATTCAGCATTGAAAGAAGAACATTTAAAAAAAGAAAACAATTCAAGCCTCTCACGAAAAACGCAAATTTATGAATTGAATTTCAATTTTTTTAAGTTTAAAATAGCTCAAGTCAGGTATGTGATAGAAAGTTGGCTCAAACATCAATCAATATAGAATTCAAAACTGAACAAAGGTAGGGTTTTTGAGTTTTAAACTTTATTAGTGAACTTTTTAAGGTTTTGGAGAAAACTTTCTAGAGACAAAAAGAAAGAACACGTCGAGAAACTTTTATAAAGCAGAGAAAAACATGATCCATTTAGCCATTCTCAAGATAGTTTTCTCATGAAACACGCCTATTCTGACATAAATGCACATAATTCAATAATTTTAATAGAAGAATTTTAGCATTTGCTTTGTTTTAAGACATAACTTTCAACCGATCGAGCAAGAAGTTTTGAGAGTTCTTCAGAATACAAATTAACGTTTTTGTTTTTGACACTTGAATCAAGTTTGATAGAGTTTCGAAGGTTAGAATCCGTTTTTTCAGCTGGAGTTTGGTATAACTGTTTCAATAAAAAAAGTTAATAAGTTCGATTTGGATGAAAAAAAATGATATTTGCTAACATAGATCTCTTCACTTTCCATATTCTCGCTGCGTTGAAAGTTCCAGCTCGATCAGTTGCACTGTAGTTTAGATCCAGAACATCATTCCCACAAAAAAACTGCAAAAAAATTGTCCAACTACTTTGAGTTTCCAGAAAAAAAGCTTTCAGAGTAATTCCTGAGGAATTGAAATACAAACTATTACACAGAGCTTTTCCTACATGAATTATCGTAACACTTGAAGGCTTTATCAATTCTGTGTGTGTGCTATGATCTGTGGGTTAATTTCGAGATAAACAAGGAGTGAGTGAATGACTATTGTGATTTCGGCTTGCGAGACACAAGCAGAGAGCGTGATGGAAGATATTTTGGTCTATCTTATTGTAAAACTTTTCGAAAATGAACATTTTTAAGATGCTATGAATCGATTTGAAATTCAATCGATTGATAATTACCGAGAAATGTTGTTGTTAATAATTCAAATATTTGATTTTCATCAAATGCATTATGTTTAGTAAGAAAATTCATATCAATTATTTGAATTGTATCGATATTTCGACTTGAACAACCATTAACAAAACGTGACAGTAATGTTAATGTCGATGTTTCTTCAGGATTGAGGTCATAATCAAGTGTTGCATCATTACTAGATAATTCGATTAAACATTTTCGATATTGTAGATCGACAAGAATACGACCCGATGGTGAAATATGTGGTAATTTAAGTGAATATTTTTCTTGTTGTTCTGTCGATGAAACAATATTTGGATATAAACGACAAATTTCTGGTAATGTTCCAATACCAAACCAACAACTAAATTCTCTTGCTGCATTGTCAGCTAGTTCAAGTAATGTCTTATCAGTTAGAGCTTCAGAATTTTTAAGTTGATCCATTGCAACAATAATACTCGATTTAAGTGCACCGACTGCTGCACCACTAAAATTAGTTGTAACTTTAACAAGAAAATCAATTCGACTCGCTGTAAATGTTGTCAAATCTTTACACAACAATGGTTCAAGCATTTTCTTTCGAATTTGAGGTGATGGCCGACCAACAAAACATTTTGCTTGCATTCGACGTAGAAAAGCTTCATCCATCATGTTACGTCGATTTGTTGCACCAAATACAATCAAATTTGATATATCTTTAACACCTTCAATATGTGAAAGAAGTACACTTATTCCATCGACTTTCGATTGTTGAGCATTATTATCACGTTTAGGAACAAGTCCATCTATTTCATCAATTGTCATAGCACATATTAGATAACGTATTGTTTTCGCACGATACATGATATCTACCAGTAATCTTTCAGTTTCGCCTACATACGGACGATTAAGTTCGCCAGCTGCCAATGGAGTTGTCGTCATTGTAATACCCGCAAATATGGCAGCTCGTTTCAATAGTTCAGATTTACCTAAATACGTACAATAAAAACATTCTAGAAAAACTCAAATTAATAAGAAATAATTTGTATCAATAATAAAATGTATATAAAAATAACAATATCAAGTATCATTTTGCTTTTCTTTTTGTAAAATTCATGTTAAAATAGCTAATGTAAGTTTAAATTTAAACCTATTGGTAGTCCAATTCATATTGAAATATTCTTTGTTCACTAGCTAACTTCGACTAAATAGAGAATCGATGGCATACATGCGGTTTACTTTTTAAATATCTCTCGAGTCTGCATTATATAAAATCATGAGTTTTTTTTTCAAACTAAAAATTGCTTCATAAATAGATTTTGATTACTTCTATTATAATATGAATATGTTCAAGACATATACTTCATTTGAAATTTTGAACATTTACCAAAAATATCTTTAACAAAGTCTTATCTAATACGTCTTTTTTCAATTGAAATTGAGAGAGAGAGAGAGAGAGAAATTTCATTAATGATCATTTATACCTGTTCCTGGTGGTCCATAAAGTAGTAACCCACGTCCATATTTAACCTTCAATTTTCGATGTGCATCAGCTACATCGATTTTAAGAATAGTATTAAGATTTTCAATTCGTTCATCATCTTCAGCTATTTTAGTTTCTAATTCACGGATTGGTGCTCTATGTTCGGACAATTTGGTTTGTGCTCGTTGAAGACGAACTTTAGCCTCTTGATGTTCTTTCTCGGCAAGTTCTACTTTTCGTTTTTCTTCATCATGTTTATCAAATGCTTGTTTCGTCATTCCACTACTGACCATTTTTTCAAGCAAATCCTTTGCTTCAGCATCGATTTGTTTCTTTTTAGAAACAGCATTCTGTAGACCACGTTCACAAGCTTCAACTTCATCTTTGTATGCTTTAGTTTCTTTTTCGAGTTTATTAACTTTAGTACGACGATCTTTATTGAGTGTTACAAAATTATCTCGTTCTTTTGTCCATTCATCATGCTGTTGTTTATGGGCATTTGCATCGATCAGAGTATTTTGCAGACAGAATGTTGTCAAATATGCATGTATATTACTGAGAACATTACCATCATCATCATATGTTTTTCGTATTTCACTAATAGCCAAATCAACAGCACGTCGATCAAGATAAGGAATAAATTTGACTGTATCAGTAATATCATGAAAATATCGTCGTACGCGATGTATATCAGCAAGTAAAGTAGCTTCCGAATTTGTATATGGATTATTTGATGAATCGAATGTATGAGAAGCAGCATTCAATTGAATATAATCACGTATCATTTGCTTAACCAAATGTTTTACTGATGTTATTTTCTCCCAAGAATGATCGTTAGTTGCCGCATTTCGAAGATGTTCAATTGTAGCTATACTTTCCTCTATTAAAATATATAATGAAAGATCAGTGACTGGTTTTCGAATAAAAAGAGTCATACATTTGCACGCTTGATCTGATCTTTAGAATCCGATTTTTTGCATTAAAAAGAATTTTTAAATACGTCTCTCTTTGGAAAAAAATTGTTGAAAATGAAAAAAAAATATAGTCAAATGATTTGTTAAGCTTAATGATATCTGAAAATACTTTTTTTTACAACAAAAAGTCGTTAGTTATATATATTGACACATATAAATTCTTCTATTTTTCGATTAAATCTAAAAAATTTTCAAGAAAGATTACATAGAAAACCTCCTATTTTATAATTCATTTTAAGATGAATACATCTATTGATTGGCAAATCGAGATTTTCTTTTATATTTTTCATCAGTCAAAATTGATTAGAATTTAGATCTACGATTTTTTCACTTCTCATTGAGTTGTTTAAATAAGTTTATACCTTTTAAAGCTTTTTTCCAAAGTATTGCATCTCCTTCATCACAATTGTTTTGTCGACAAATCTTTTTCAGAAGATCATCAAGAGTTATATCATCATCATTATTTGCAGTATTCGTTGATGCATCTTTCTTTTTCATTTCTTCTCGATGTATGTAAACTTTAGTCGTTGAACTTGTTTTCCACACTTTAGGAAATTCGTTTTGATTCGGATCATTACATTGATAGTCGAGTTCAAGAAGATTAAGTAAATAATTAAAATTCCACGGTCCGAAAGCATCATTCTTTCGTATGAATAAATTAGGTCGATATATTGTACGTACACTTTGATTACTCATATCAATTGGATCATGAGTCGATATCAATGCATACTGATGAAGTACTGAAACACATTGACCATTTTCAATTGAACGAAGATGCTTGTTTGGTTGAATGAGTTCATCAACAAATGCTTGTAAATGTGGATAACTATATTTCAATCGGATATTTAATCTGATAGCATCAAGAATTGCAGCATCGATTGAATCCGACGGTTGTTTTGTGGTACTTCCAACTGAACGCATACCGATTCCAGTATCAGTAGTAGTATTCGTTTTAGAATTATTCTTATTTGGTTTGAACTCTTCCCATGAGTATTCATCATCACTCATTTTTATAGTATGTAAATAGGGAGGAGTTACTACCAAATCACAATAATCTAAAATTAAATGTAGTTTTAACTCTGTATTTCTGTTGCGATATGATTTTATAAAGATTTATTTTTTCTCAAGGATAATTTAAAACATGTAAATCATCTGTATTCTCGGTTGAATTGTGAACTAGTCATTCAAATAATAGTTATTCTTTTCTATGATTAATCTCTCTTATATGAGTAACTTAAGAAAGCTTTTTCCGTGATCTGTGCTACAAAAAAAAACTCGATGATTGAATCAAATTTTATCGTGATTACGACACAAAAAAATGATTTATCGAAATTCTTTATCATAAGTTCATAAATGACTTTTGTAGAGTAGAGACTTTCCTCTTTAAAGAATAGATGATGTATAATAAATGTTGATCATTTTAAGAAATATTCTATTCTTATATAGTTCTTCAGTCGAATAGACTGATATATGAAGTATATGTACAAAGTGTCGAAATCTACTCAATATTAATATCGGTGCCAAAATATAAGGCAGATGATTATTTTTCGAAATAACTCAAAAACTATAAAAGCTATCGACCTGAAGTGTGTGGGGTAGAAAATTCAAATTCTAGTATGGAGTAGATCTAGACATCTAATATAAATCAACGTATTCTACTGAAAAGACATTGAACGAACTGAATCTCTTAAAAGGACGGGGGCGTATAAGCTATAGAAAATGGGCCACTAGGCGTT